GGGAGTGGGTGTGAGGCCCCGCTGGCCGCTGGCCCAGGGTCAGGGCGATGGGGCAGCTCCCCGAAATACCGGCCCCGAGTGGCGTTGTAGACCAGAGGGGACAGCGCAGGTGCGGGCGGGAGTGTGGGTTTCGCCGGTTCTTTCCGCGGGAGAGGCAGGGGCCGGGGGGCTCCACTCGGAAAGTCTGAAGGTTACTCTCTCGCCAGCAGCCCCCCGAGGGCCGTGCACTCCGAGCCGGAGAGGAGCCCGGCCTCCTCCAGAGGAGGTCTGGGGTTGGCAGAGTGTCGGGAATGAGCCCATTAATGGGGCGGGCGATGGGCCCGGCGGGGCCTGTGCGCCCAGAGGTGAGGGAGGTGGTGGAAGCCGCAGCCTGGCGTTGCAGTGATTGCAGAGTGACGCCCACACTTGTCCACTATGCACACTTGTCCAGGAGTCACACGTGTCCTTTGGTAACCGTGATGTTGTTCTTATGGTCAGAGGGGGAGATAAGAGCAGCCCACGCCCGTGTGGCTCAGTGGATAGAGCGTCGGCCTGCAGACAGAAGGGTCCCCGGTTCGACTCCGATCAAGGGCACATGCCCGGGTGCGGGCTCCATCCTCAGTGTGGGGCGTGCAGAAGGCAGCTGATCAATGATTCTCTCTCATCGTTGATGTTTCTCTCTCTCTCTCCCTGAAATCAATAAAAATATATATTAAAAATAAAAAAGAGAGTATTGGAAACACATCTTTTAAAGGGAAACTTATACTGTCTCTCCCTTGGAGTTGTTTTAGGGATAATATATGTCAAATATTGGCCCCGACCCCATTTGTAGTGACCCTTTAAGTCAAGGGTGGGGAACGTCCAGCCCATGGGCCATGTAGGCCCAAGAAACCATTGGGTCTGGCCCTGCCAAAGCCACGGAAGGCAGGACTTGAAATGCAATAAATCTAGGAGGTTTTTTCAGAGCAGCATAAACTTACATTGAGCGATTCTCTTAGCGATGATGCTGTAAATATGCAAATGGCCTTTGGCAGAAAAGGGGCCCCACCCCGCTTTAAGTGGCAGCCAGTTGCTTTGGGTAGAAAACTAATGGGCAGCATTAAATGCACGCAGTCAGCCGGTCCTGAGTGAGGTGATTACTACAGCGCTGAAGCAGTAAGGCTCTGTGTGCACTGCCGCAGCGGCTGCCGAACTTCCCGTGGGTCGGATCGGATCAGACCGGACCGGGCGGGGCCTCGGAACTCCTACCGGGAGTTGCTGACCTGACTATACAAAGCTCCCAGTGCGCTCAGAAGGACGGTCCCTCCCCAGCGACAGAAAACCATGGCAGATGGGTCCGCCCACACTTTACGCGGTGGAAACGCCTGGGGTGTTGGTGAGGACCCCCATTATGGGGCCGCTCTCCTGGGCAGCCAGGGGCTGCGGCTGCACGTACATCCTCTTTCTTAATTTCCCAGCCCTTCTTTTGAAGCGGGCAGCAGCCCCAGTGTCCTCCCACAGAGATCAGTGGTCTGCGCACAGAAGCTGACCCGGTGTCCACTGAAGGCGCCACACCCTGCTCCGGCCGGGACTCGGGCTTCGTTCTGGCCTCTGGCCTGCAGGGTGCTGGGCGGGCTCACCGACGGTCACGATCGGTAGTCACCATGTGGCTCACGGATGTCAAGAGCCTGAAGGTCTTCCGTTGTCAAGATGAAATAGTTTTAATGATAATTGTACCTTATTATCTGTGTGTGATGTGTGTTAAACTGAGCCCGGCCGGCATGGCTCAGGGGTTGAGCATCAACCTATGAACCGGGAGCTCAGGGTTTGATTCCCGGTCAGGACACAGGCCCGGTTGTCGGCTCGATCCCCAGCGAGGGGCGTGCAGGAGGCGGCCGATCAGTGATTCTCTCATCGTTGATGTTTCTCTCTCCCTCTCCCTTCCTCTCTGACATCAATACAAACATTTAAAAAACAAAACACTACTGTGAGACCCACGATAGCCTGTTTTTTCTTTTTCTTTTTTTTTTTTGGTTAATCCTCTTCAGAGGATATTTTTCCATTGGTTTTTAGAGAGAAACGTTGACGTGAGAGCGAGACATCAGGTGGCTGCCTCCCGCACGCGCCCAGACCCGGGACCCTTGGTGCCTGGGCCGCCGGCCGGGCAGGGACTCGGACTGGAGTGTGCCACAGTGGGTGTGCCACAGTGGGCGTGCTACAGTGGGTGTGCCACAGTGGTGTGCCACAGTGGGTGTGCCACAGTGGGTGTGCCACAGTGGGTGTGCGCCCAGATGCTCACTTTTCTAGGGTCAGAGCGAAGCGGGAAGGGGGCCGCGCAGGCTGAACATGGAGTGAGGCGGCCTGGGGCCGGGCAGGGTGCGGTCAATGAGACAGGCCGGTACTTCCCTGGAAACCGCGCTCTCCTCTGAATGTGGTGAGGGGGTTACAAGGTCCTGCACCCCAGGAGCAAAACTGGGTCCCTCTGCACCCCTCAGAGCAGCGGGGAGAGCGGAGGCTCCCCGGGCCCTGGCCCC